CTGCTCCCCTCCTTTGGCCCCCAGCCCCTCCCCTCCTCTGACAGGTGACACTCACCCCAGCCAAACGCCTCTTCCTCCCTATACCTTAGGCCTTTCATAAAGTTTCTAGAACTCAGGAAGGGCTTGCAGTGAGCAGCCTTGTCTCAGACACAGGTGCAGGTGCCAGGTGTGGCCTCTGGGCTGGCGCAGGACAAAGTGGAGGCTTCAGGGGAGAAAAGTCTTTGCCTGGAATCTTCAGAAATCTGGAGGAGAGTTGGTGTGACCAGAGCTATGCAATTAGGGGCAGAGGTGATCTGGGAGGCCCCACTGCCATCCAGGTTACAGGAATTTGGAAGGAGTAGTGCTGGAGTTGAGGAAGGTAAGGAATTTGGAAGGAGTAGTGCAGGAGTTGATGAGAAAGGTAAGAGATGAATCCTGACCGTAGTTCTCAGGGAAGGAGTCAAGGACAGTCAATGCTGACTCTTGGAAGATGAAAATACCAACTCCACCCACCATTTATAAACACCTATTATGCATGTACAGATGTTATTTCTTGAGCCTCACGGAAACTTCATGAGGTGGGTGTTACTATCTCCATGTTATAGATGAGAAAACAGAGGTTGCAAAGGCAGTTTAGGTAGTCTGCCCAAGGCCGCAGAGCTAGAATGCAAAGCCAGCCCACGTACCCTAAAGCCTGTGTTTTTACACTACCTTACTCAGCCCCTGGACCAGACACGGTAGGGAAATAAGGAGCAGGAGAGGGAATCTGCCCCGGCCCAGGGCTCAAAGTAGGCATGATCACGCCCTGTGGGGGCCAGCAACAGGGCCTCTAGGCTGGGAGTCCTTGGCCAGAAACAGAATGAGCTAAGCGTGTCTGGTAGACTGCAGGCAGGTTCTGGTGGCCCAGCATATCAGAAGGACACTGTCAAATTTGAGTGGCTGGCACAATGGGGGGACGTTTTATTTGGGCTCAGTGCATACCAGCTTCTGCTCCTGCTAGGAGTTGCCAGCAGGGACAGTTTGCCCTGTGTTTTCCCAGGCCTGACAGCCTCTTCTGGAATCCCTGCTCCTCCCCAACCTGGAAAGCCTCCTGTCCCCACCCCTTCATGTCCAAATCCTCCTAGTAAATTCTCCCAAGTTGAAATGTTCCCCCCTCCACACAGCCCTTGCCAGGAAGGATGTGTTCCCTCAGGGAACTTTCCTAGTGAGTTCTCTGCTTTTCATCCTTGGCACTTGGAGGGCAGCATGCTTGGTGGCAAGAGCACCATGGTTTAAAGCAGACAATACCTGGTTTGAATCCCAGCTCTGCCACTCACTAGCTGGGGAAACTCTTTGGAGTTTAATGAGGCAATATTCCTTTCTGGGGTTCTGATAAAGCATCAGAGGTTAACGCGGAGGCCCCTTGGAGGAGGACCACCCAGATCTCACGATTCAGCCCTCCTCCCCTCAGGACTTCTGAACAGGGGAGCTCCTTGCGAGCCTTAGCAGCCAAGTGGAAATGGGAGGGCACCTATTAATTGTGGTGACAATTAAACAGAGTCTGCAAAAAGTTGGGTTGGGGAATGTGGGTTAGGCCTGGAGGCCACACAGGGTTGCCTGCTTCCTCTCCACGGAATCTGAGACAACCAGCCCCTCCGTGGGCTCCTGTCTGCTCCCATTCCAGGATTAAGAATGAGGGAGGTGGCACAGAGTCCTGGCCTAGGTGAGCACAGGAAGCCTCCTGACCATGTGCACAGGAGAAAGAAACATGGCCCAGGCTATGGGGCTGATCATTATGGAAGGGTGACCCCCATCCAACAATAAAACAGCCCAATGAGTGTCCTGGGTTCTGACCAAACAGACTTAGACCTCCTTTCTTCTTGTAGGGCGTGGGGGCATGGATGTGGAAGCAGGTGGCCCAGGGTGGAAGCGTGGGGAGAGCGGACTCCTCTTCAATAGTATGGGTTAGATATACAGCATCTAAAATGCCTTATAGAATTCCCTGCCATGTGGCAGGAGTAATCTGTTCAGAAACATGAGTACTTATGTTTATGTGTGTTACAGTTTGGATGTTTGTCCTCTCCAAATCTTACATTGAAATTTGATCCCAATGCCAGAGGTGGGGCCTACTGGAAGGTGTTTGGGTCACAGGGGCAGATCCCTCATGAATAGATTAATGCCCTCCTTGTGGGGGGCAGTGAGTGTGTCTCACGCTACTAGTTCCCCATGAGAGCTGGTTGTTAAAAAGAGCCTGGCACCTACCCCCCGCCCCTGCTTCCTCTCTCGGCATATGATCTCTGCACATGCCAGCTCCCCTTTGCCTTCCACCATAAAAAGAAGCAGCCCAAGGTCCTCACCAGAAGCTGAGCAGAGGCTGGCTCCATGCTTCTTATACACCCTGGAGAACCATGAACCAAATAAATCTCTTTTCTTTATAAATTACCCAGCCTCAGGTATTCCTCATAGCAACACAAAACAAACTAAGACAATGTATATTCCTCCAAGTGCCAAATCTGATACACAGTAGGATTTAGTAAGTGTTGAATGAATTAATGAGTTAATTTTCATGGTAGATGCAAGATAGACAAACTACACTGCATACATCCAGAATCTTAAAATTAATTCAGCCTGGGTCAAACTTCCCTTTACGAAGTCTCAGAACAGATGTGCCTCTTGCCAAGGAAACTATGAGCTTGCAGCTGCAGAGCCTTAGCTTTAAATGAAATGACACATGGAAGGCGCCTTTCACAGTCCGGCCCATGAGTATGAAGTTCCTGGGCCCCCCTCTGTGAGTTGACAGCTGGGTGAGTGCCTCGACAACCACCTGTCTCCCCAAGTCTCTCTCCACAATGTACCAGGCACCTCCCATATCAGGGATGCCACCTGGTCTGGAATGAAAGAACTAGTTCAGCCCAGCTCTGGCTTCAGGAAATGCCAGGTCATAAGCCCACCAAAAAATAAGTCTTTCAGATGGGAAGATGTTGACATAACCTCAATTACAGTCTGTGATTCTCCACACACTGCCTGGAAAATGCATTAGCCCAGTGCATTAGTCTGCTAGGGCTGCCGTAATAAAGTACCACAGGCTGGGTGGCTTAAACAACAGAAATTTATTTCTCACAGTTCTGGAGGCCAGATATCCAAGATCAAGATGCTGGCAGAGTTGGCTTCTTCTCTGGCCTCTCTCCTTGGCTTGCAGATGGCCACCTTCTTGCTGTGTCCTTAGGTGGTCCTACCTCTGTGTGCACAAGTGCATACCTGGTGTCTTCTTCATGTGTCTTAATCGCCTCCTCTTCTAAAGATAGCAGTCAGATTGGATTAGGGCTCACCCTAATGGCCTCATTTTAGCCTAGCCACCTCTTAAAGGCCCCGTTTCCAAATGTAGTCACATCTGAGGTACTGGGGGTTAAGGCCTCAACCTATGAAACTGGGGAGGACATAATTCAGCCCATAACACCCAGCTTAATTGGTTTTAGCTGTGAGAGAAAACTCACATCTCTGGGTCAGAAGGATCTGGATTGAAGTCCATTCATTTCCTGGCTGTGTGATCATGGGCAAGTTGCAAAGCCCATCTGAGCTTTTATTTCCTCATTTGCAAACTGGGGTTCCTGGGTTTTGTGAGGGTCAAAGGAATGACCACGTGGGAAGTAAGTGACATATAGAGGGTGCTTAACCACTTCGGTATGAGCGTCCACTACAGTCGATAGCCACAGATGAACGTGCACAGCTGAGCGTTGACTATAGTCCATAGCCACAGGTGAATGCGCACAGCGACTTTAGCTGACAGCCATGATATGACTTTTCTAATTTTTCATTTATCAAAATAAAGTTGTGAACATTTAAAAATAACGTAATAAAAACAAATATGAAAAGCTGCCTGTAAAGTAAATCAAGCTTTCAGTGCTTAAAGCTTTCCTCATCACACAAGAGCAAAACGGATTCGTGGTCAATGCACAGCACAAACTATCTGCGGACTATGAGTGCCGGCTGTGGGCAAGGCTTCGCGGCCGGTGAGTGCCGTACCGAAGTGGTTAAGGAATGCCGGTTCCCCTCTCAGCCTACATATGGGAATGTTTGGACTCTTGAATATACACTGAAATTTGCTGATGGACCTCTGAATAGAGCAGGCAGGGAGGAGGAGGGCTCCTGACTCTTTTTAGCCCTGCCCTACCCTGAGGAGAAAGAAGGGTGCTTGGAGCAGACACCTTAAGAGAAATTTCCCTACCACTGTGCCAGGCTACCTAGCTAGCATCAAGCATACAGAGCAGTTAGTACCTGTCTTTAGATATAGGGACCTAATACCTGTTGTTATTTGAATTGGATGAGAGATTGAAATTTTAATATAGACTGGGCTGGTCTTTCAAAAGCTTGAAAATGAGAGAGTTGGTTAATATCTGAAACTGACAGTAAAAGCTATGATTCCTGCTTGAACTACAGCTCAAAATCTTGGAAAAGGGAGCTGTGAAAAAGCTTGTTTAAGAGCCCAAAACTTTCAATTAACTGGTTATTAGTATTTATTATTTCTTGCCCCTTCGGTGTCTTACATCTCCCATACCCCTTCAAAGCAGCAAAAATTCAGATCGGCCAGGCGCGGTGGCTCACGCCTGTAGTCCTAGCACTCTGGGAGGCCGAGGCGGGCGGATTGCTCGAGTTCAGGAGTTCGAAACCAGCCTGAGCAAGAGCGAGGCCCCGTCTCTACTATAAATGGAAAGAAATTAATTGGCCAACTAAAAATATATACAAAAAATTAGCCAGGTGTGGTGGCGCATGCCTGTAGTCCCAGCTACTCGGGAGGCTGAGGCAGGAGGATTGCTTGAGCCCAGGAGTTTGAGGTTGCTGTGAGCTAGGCTGACGCCACTGCACTCACTCTAGCCTGGGCAACAAATCGAGACTCTGTCTCAAAACAAACAAACGAACAAAATTCAGATCGTCCAACTTTTCCCACAATATGAGTCAAGCCAAAGCACTCTCCTAATTGGGTTATCCCCTTTGAATAAAATTTTGTATCTCACCTGATTTTATCATTTGTTCCACAGAAAACTCCAAACTTCCCACAAAGACCTTTTAAAAAGCATATTAAGTATAATCCAGACTGAAACTGTAGCCTCTAACGCAGGAGTGGGCATGAGAGGTGGGCAGAGGGTGGAGACAGGGCCTCTGAATCAGGCTGCAGGAGGCGGCAGGAGGTTGCAGTCTGCTCAGTCTCTGCAGTTATCTGAAGCCTTGGCTGGGCTGGAAGAAATCTTGGTTCCTTGTCACACAGACTTCATCATAGTGCTTCATGAGTGTCTTCATGACATGTAAACTGGCTTCCCCAAGAGCAAGTGATCCAAGAGCAAGAAAAAGGGAAGCGCCACGATGCCTGTGATGACCTGCTCCTTAAGTGACACACCATCACTAGAGCCAAATCACTAAGTCCAGGCCACACTTGAGAGGAGAATCAAGCTGCACCACTTGAAGGGAGGAGCACTAAGGAATCTGTAGACACATTTCAAAACCGCCACTGTCTCCCACTCATCTGCTCTTCTAGAATTGAGCTTGCCCATACCAGTGTTCTCTTTCCTTAGTGTGACTTCCTTTTCACAGGGCTCCTTGGTTTCTTGTGCATCCTCTCTGCCAGTCCCCCGAATCTGCAGGGAACACATAACCTGGTTCTTCTCTTCAGACCATCACACTTTCCTCCAGTTTGTATGTCATTGTATTCCAGAGCAAATTCACACCCCAAACCCACTCCCCTATCCTTCTGACATCCTGTGCTTTAGAAATGAGGCCAGATATCCACACAAATATGGACAGGAGAAAAATGAGCTGACTTTTCTTTCATAAGTACCTAAAACTAAAAACATATGAACCTGTAGGTAAGCAAACAGGCCTAATCTGAGTGTCTAACTCAGAAAGTCTTGGGAGTTGGAGAAGTTTGTTTGTTTTTGGATGGGGGTCTTGCTATATTGCCTAGGCTGCTCTTGAACTCCTGAACTCAAGTGATCCTCCTGCCTCAGCCTCCCAAGTAGCCGGGACTACCAGCACACACGCCACCATGCCTGGTGAGATTTCCATCTCTTATATATTTCCAGGTGATGCTGCTGCTGGTCCACTGGCCACACTTTTGAGAACCACTGGTCTAAGGATTAAGCAAGCAAAATGAATGTCCCTACAGTGATTGAATTACTGGGGCATACTTATCCAGATGACCATTTTTAGCAGGGAAATTTGTACAAACTTACAACTTCCCTGGAAAATTCCATTTTGTGGCTAATTTCTTCTGGTTTCTTATCTTCTCTCTATGTTCCTCCTCTCCCTTTAACCATCATATCCACCCTGAAAGCATATATAACCTTATTTTTTTTGGTTTTTGTTTACAACTGTATTTAACTTTATTGGTACACATTCTCAGAATTGAGGCCCTTTGGAAAAGGCCCAAGGTTTGCAAATTCAAAAACACATTTTGAATTGAGGCAACTTAAAAACATATCTTATTATTGCTTTTTCTTGCATACTCCAAATTTCCTTTACAATTCTCCTCTTACATATCAGTTTGAATCTAAGCAGTACTTAAATTAGGAAGTTCACAAACTCAAGGCAACTGATAAGTGGTAGCATCTAATAAGCAAATGATTTTCTAAAGTAATTTTCCATTTTTATTCTGCCCTATTTCAGTCAGTCTGGGAGATTCCTGGAAAGAACATGTGCTAAAAGCATTTCTATTTATATTAGCAGTTGGTTCCATAAACAGCATATTTGTTTTACTTTTCTCTGGATCATTCTCAGCCCTATTTGCTCCAGTTGAGTCACACTGCCAAAGCAAGCTGACATGGTTTATACTCAAATAACCCTAACTTGTTAGTCCTGATGTACAATTTTAAGCATATTTATAGAAAAAGGAAAAAGAAAACTACACCAATACGTAACGTAGTTTTTTGTTGGTGACCTCTCTCTCTCCAGCCAACTGGTAATCTATTTTTATTTAAAATAAAATCTAGCTTTTAAAAAATAAAGAAAGCTGTTGATAATGGGAAAGGCTGTGCATGTGTAGGGGTGGGAGGTATAAGGGATATCTCTGTACCTTCCTCTCAATTTTGCTGTGAACCTAAAACTGCCCTGAAATAAAAAATCTTAGGCCGGGCGCGGTGGCTCATGCCTGTAATCCTAGCTCTCTGGGAGGCCAAGGCGGGCGGATTGCTCAAGGTCAGGAGTTCAAAACCAGCCTGAGCAAGAGCGAGACCCCGTCTCTACTATAAATAGAAAGAAATTAATTGGCCAACTGATATGTATATAAAAAAAATTAGCCGGGCATGGTGGCACATGCCTGTAGTCCCAGCTACTCGGGAGGCTGAGGCAGAAGGATCGCTCGAGCCCAGGAGTGTGAGGTTGCTGTGAGCTAGGCTGACGCCACAGCACTCACTCTAGCCTGGACAATAAAGCGAGACTTTGTCTCAAAAAAAAAAAAAAAAAAATCTTAAAAAAATGAATGCAAAGCATTTATTGCATAATGATTTAATGGATTAAGGATGTATTAAAAGATCTATTGGGAAGAAATTTTCAAACTTAAGACCCCAGAGTCTCAGTTTTTGGTGAGTATTCAGATGCACACGGTCAGGCATGCTGCCATGTGTCATTGTTGCTCAGGTGCTAGATTAGTGACCACTGATGCCTTTGGTGGTCGCTGCTGAGAGCTCTGAATCTTACATCCCTGGAGAAGCCAACCTCATGTCTCCTGCAATTTGTGAAGCACCAACTCTCCTGAGCCCTCTTCTTTGAAAATTTCATTGAATCAAATCTCAGCCCACAGTTTGTCTGGTGGCCCCATTAGCTGTTCCAGGGTGGGACCTTGTCTAGTGTCTTTTCTCAGATGAGCAATCAATCTGCAGGCTCACATCTTGCCACACACAGGGTTAGAAAAATGTGTGGCATACAACAGCAACCCAACAGAAGTGGAATTAAACAGAAACTTTATAGTCTATTTCTTTATCACTCTATCACTGCTGTTTTTTAGGTAATCCTGAGCTTTGTCATCTAAATATTAAGCCCAGTATTTTGCAAGATAATCAAAATGGAGAAATTCAAAAATTCTCATTTCACAAGTACAGGCCCATTTATTCTCTTTCAAATCTCTTCTCTTCTAAAATTGCACCCTTCATGATAAAACCATATAATAAGTGACCTTGGAAAAGTCATTTAATTTCCCTGAGCCTGTTTCCTTACCTGTAATATGAGGATAATAATAATCATCTCTTTCAAAAGTTTTATGTGAAGATTAAATAAAATTATGTATATGAAAGCTCTTAAGAGTTAAGGCAAACTTGATTATCATTGTTACCTCAAATCTAGATCACAATAATACCAATAATCTACACTTATAGCTACCTGAAACAGAACATTAGCCATTTTCTCCCCTAAGTTTTTCTCCTGTTTTCCCAAAGCCCTCTACTCCTTGAGTCAATGGCATTCACTCCCTCAGGGAGTGGATGGGCACAGCCAAGACTGGGGAATCCCTGAGCAGAAAAGGCCATTTGCCTGGCTCCAAGAGTATAGACCTCAAGAAAAGGCTCATGTCCAACATGACATCCAGTGGTAGCATTACAGTGTCTAGGGAACAAGTCCAGGCAGATGGGCCTAAGAGAGACCTGAAGAGACTGCACATCCCAGCATAGTTGGGGAATGCTGCAAGAAACTCCCCATGTCCCCACAGAGATGTGGAAGGGACTGAGCAGACAGCAAACTGGAAGAGCCCTGCTTGTAAAGTGTAGATTCATTAGCAAATTAGCAGGGCCTAAAGCTGAAACCCAAGGCAGATAGAGCCTCAGGATGGGAACCCCACGAGGAAGAACAATTGTACAGGCTGGTCTCTAAAGATGGCCCAATGCACCCCACCGTCCAACAGTCACATCCCTGTGTAGTTCCCTCCCACATCGAATCTGGGTTGGTCCTGTCACTCACTGTACCAACTGAATGCAGCAGAAGTGACACTGTGCCATGCCAGTTCTAGGCCTGGCAGCTTTTACTTTAGCCCTCGTGAAAGTCGGGACCAGTTACCTTGCTGGAGAGAGAAGCCATGTGGAGAGGCTCTAAATGGCAAGGAGACACCATGCGAGGAGAGAGACCACATGGAGGAGTGCCGAGGTGCCAGAGTTGTCCTAGACCAGTCAGTTTGAGACTGTCAGGAAAAAACTGTAGCCTGACAAAATCAGGTTTATCGACCCTCTGAAATGAGGGAGATCATACTCTAGAGGAATCTCGGAGTGGCTTGCTGAAGGCAAAGTAGAGTTAGCATAGGATTTGGGGGAAAGGTGGAATTTAGGTGGAATATAAAGCTGAGTTTTTCTGTCTGTTTTTGAATTGAAAATCATTTTGTAAATTGAGGTCATCAAGGAAACTCTGTGAAGTGACATTAAGAGTCAAACAATTTTCTCGCAAAGCATTTGGAGAATATATATGCATTATGTAGATGACAAGGGGGTTCAAACAGGATGTGGGGGTGCAGAGGATGGGAGATGAGGTGGATAACGGAACCTCAGTATCCTAACCCAGTTACAAATTGGAGCAATGGAGATCCGCTAGGAGCCGAGTAACAGGAATAAGACAACACTGTGCCTGGCTGGCTCAGGAAGTGCCAACAGATTCAAAGCCATATGCAGCATTTGAAGACTCTAAATGTCTACTGTCTTTAAAAATTGAGATACCATATTCCACAGACCATGAATTCACATACCGTAAAAGTCACCATTTTAGACTATACAACGCAGTGATTTTTAGTGTTGAATCCGAGTGTTGATGGGCTCGAAGCAAGGCATCCTCTGTGTAAAGGGTTCAACAGCAGGTCTGGATGATAAAGGGGACCCCAGGGTCCTGTTTCCTGGGCTGTTAGAAAGCTGTGATAGAGTAGAATGCTGTGTCCAGAAACCCTCTGCAGCTGAGTTGCAAAGCAAGGCTATTTCTCTGCATCAAAGTGACTTAGCTCTTCCAGGCAAAAGTTTCTAATAATCTATGATTTTAGGAAACAAAGCTTCTCAGTGAATAAGCCAGTTGGTAGCCACTCACAGCTGCCGTGTGCCCTTGGATGAAAAGTTTTTCTTCTTTTAACTTCACATCTGGCCTTATTCACATCTCTTATGTGAATAGCCTGATGAATGGCTGCGCAGATTTTTTACACTCTTAGCCTGAGCTCATTTTTACTTTCTCAGAGTGAAGAAGGCAACCCAGATCTTCCCATCCAGTGCTATCCTCTAGGGGACCCCAGCTGCAGTTGCCATTTGATCAAAGCTGCATGAGAGACTTCAAGCAACATACGCAGAAGAACACACTGAGCCCAGTCAACCCACAAAAATGTGAGGGAATAACGTCTTGGATTTAGCCACTATGTTTTGGGATGACTTGCTACATATAAATCCGTTATTGAACTAACCATGCTTGAAGCAGACCTCTCCCCTGATGGCAGGATGATAATAAGACCCTGCCAGTCAAGCCCAGAGAAGGAAATAGGGGAGAGGAATGAGCCTAAATTAGACTAAGGACTTACTCAAAAGGCTTGAGTTTTAACCTCTGGCGCTAGAAGTCAGAAGAGTGGTTACTTCTGGGGGATGGAGGAGCTGAGTGGAGAGGGGATGAGGGAGCCTTCTGGATTGCTGGCAAT